ATGACATAATTTTCCAAATTTTAGCTATACCTATATAAAATCCTAGATCCGCCCCTGACAGCTATTATTTCCTGTGAAGCCACCTTAAAAACTGCGATTTTGTAAATGTAAAAAAGGCTTTGTTTTTTAAAAAAAACGTCTAAGTACATTAGCCCGTCATGATTTGGACGTCATAAAATTATCTTTATTTTTTATTTATTTAAGGACATTAACTTACTAAACTACATTAATAAAATAATTTCCCGCAAAAATAAATCTAGAAGTGTTTTTTTCTAAATGTACATATTGTAGAATGTCTTTTTTGTTTCAAATTGTTTCTTAATATTAAATAATTAAATTTAATATTACATTTTTTATTATCATTTAACATCAACTAACTTTTCTCTACATTTGTCTAAATGAAATATTTTTTCATTATTTCTTAAAATTGCAACATTGCAAGAAATTATTTTTTACTTTTAAAAAATTATTTAACAAACAAAAATATTACTTAATGCAAAAAAAAAAAATTCAAGTTAATAACTTTACTAGCGCTTTTTTTTGTAGCAAACAAAGATTTTAGTTTCCAAGTACCGTTTATTAAAAATTATATACCGTTGGCCTTAAGGTTAAAAAAGTTAAACTTACACTTTATGAATATTTTTGATGCAGTGTTATAAGTTATAACATGTTCACAACAGGGCCGATGACACGGGTTTTGAAGAGGTGGGACGCAATCATCAATTTGTGAAAAAAGTCCTCTATATCAAGGTTTTTCTTAAAAAAAAAGTTCCTTTAAAAAAAAGTGGGGGGCCCTGACCCCTGGCCCCTCGCCCCCCGGGTGTCGTCGGCCCTGTACAAGGAAATTAAATTTTTGTAAAAAATTAATTTCCTTGTACAGGGCCGAAAAAAATTAATTTCCTTTTTTGTAAAAAAAAACGAGAAAAAAAAAAATCTAATTGTTTTTTATTTAAATAACTTTTTTATTCAAACTTTTTTCTAAATTATAAGAAGTTTTTGTTTTCACTTTTTTGATATCGCACAATCTGTTAATTATATGAAGCTGATGTAACTATTATAAAATTATTTTTTTGTAAAATAAAACTTATAAATATAAACGAAGACGTTGCAAGAGTTATATTGCTTCAAGCTTAAATTCAAGCAAAAAATTAATAATAGAGCTATATCCATAAAATAAATTGCTTTTTTTAATTATAAAAAAATAAACTATTTGTAAGATGTTGTTTAAAGTTTGAATAATTAATTTTTTTTTAATTTTTTTGATAAAACCAATAATAATAACAAAACAAAATTAAAAAAAACATATATATATAAATATTAAAAGTGGCCTTAATTATAAAACAAATTTAATAATATAAAACAAATTGAGCAATTTTTGCGACATCGGTTGGGAAGGAGGCGTGAACTTCCTATTAAATGCTCTTTCGCAGTGCTCTGTGATAAGACCGTAAGGACTTCTTGGGGCACCTTAATCAACTTAAAAAAAAAAAAAAAAAAAAAAAAAAATTTAACGTGTGCTATCTTTTAACTAATAAATTTTATAGCGGAGAGTGGGGTAATGGCGAACGCGAGGTAACTTCGAACATGGTCAAAACAGCATTGTAGAAAAATAAAATTGACAATTTTTTTTTACCTGCTGAGAAAGGATCCCATGCTCAGTTCCAGACGTGCATTAGTGTAATGTAGATGTTAATTATCAAATTAGATTTTAATTTTTTCTGATAATTTGATGAATTTTTTTTTCTTGAGTAACATTCTGTTGTAGCTTCTATGGAAATAAAGCCACTCCTTTTTTTTATGTTGTTGCATAATATAATTTATAGACTTACTACAATTAGCAGTTTATTCGTTATTACACAACAGTGTTTCTGATTGCCGCCCGATGTGTTCGGAATTACCCCACGTACGTAGGGTAATTTCAAACGCCAATGGTTTTATTTTTCCCATAAATTTTTATTTTATAATAAATTTTATAAAAATTACTTTTGAGGGTTTGTGACTGAATAGTTAAACTAATTGATAAGTAATAAATATGATCAATTTTGAATAACTGGTGTCTTTAATTCGCATTCCCACATAGGTGTTCGCCAATACTCCACTCTCCAAATTTGTTTTTTATGTTGTTTTTTTTAAATTCATTTATTATTTATGTTATTGTTTGTTATTAAATAAATATTCTTGTACTTGCAAGATAATAAATAGAATTTTTTTAATTATGTTTCTTTTATGATTTTTTTTTTACGCGCCAATAACATCTTTATTTTTCTTTTACTGAACATTTTTGATGGTAAAGTTAGGCTATTAAAAATAAAAATTTCTTTGTTGTTTCTTAAGTTATATCATTTTCAAATAGTGCGGATATCAAAAGTAATTGTCATGCAAAATTTCTACGTAATCGTGATTCAAACTTCATAAGGGGTCGTCAATAAATCACGCAACGCAAAATATATTGAAAACAGTATTTTTAGAAATGAGAGATATTAGGCTCTTTTACGCGGGGATTTTCATTAAACTTAATGGGCTATTTTGATTTTTAATTTAATACTCTGCAAAAGAAAAATTTTGATCTTTTTTGTTTTGTTTATTGTGAAAGTTTGCGTTACGTAATTTATGGACAATCCCTAAGCGGTTTTTATAAAGGTAATCTTACCACCTAAATGATTTCCGCTTAAATGATGAACTTTTTTAAAATAAAAAGTGACTCACGTGAAATGGCTTACGTTAAACGTTATTATAATATAAATAACGGGATAGTTATGATAAGGGGATATTATATATATAAATAACGTACATTTACGTACTCTTAGCGCATAAGTAAATGGCGCGCCACTTTACGCATTAAAACAAGGATTGATGTAGGTAATGTTAAAACCTTTGCTTCTTCTAAAGTTAAACTTCTCAGTGTTTGATAAAGATTTAAAGATTGATGATCATATTATAGAGCACTATGGGATAGCAAATAGTAAATGCTTCTCTCTCTTGCGGACTCCACATTATCCACAACAAATCTGAGATTTCATTGGATGATGTATTAAAATCAGACAATAAGCTAATGATTTACCTCAAGAACTTGCAGTTTTTATAAACTGAAATTTTTAAATCTATTACTAGCTTAAACAGAGTTTAAGCCAGTAATAGCAGAGTTTGTGTCGATTTTTTATTCAAAAAACCCTGCCTACTGACTTTGCTGTTGTAAAATAGTAACGCTACCACCTATTATTATATTATAGTAATGCTACCACCTAGAATTGTTTCTAAAGATAAATACAAAAAAATATATATGTAAATAATAACTTATACAGCGCCGCTTCGCTATGGAACCCTCTTTGACAATGAAGCTGTCGTTACAAAGTCTAAAGATGTTTATAAAATAATTTAATATATGTTTATTATAATTTATTTGATTTTGTTTATATATACTCAGATTTGTAATTTATACTTTACGTATGCATATATACAATTATTAAATCTTTTTTAAATTTTTAATCCACGATATCTTTGTTTGTGTACTATCTTATATTGTTTCGTGTCTTGATTTTATTATTTTAAAAAAAACTATTGTAAGTGATCAACAGTAAATAAAGCTTTTAAATAAAATAAAATATGGCTTTTTGCAAAAACACATTTCTTTTGTCATTATTCTTTCTATTTTAACAATGTCACCTTATATAGTTCTCACAAAAAACAGCCCCAAATCATAATACTACACCCACTGCGTTTCACAGTTATTAACAGATATTGTTTTATTATCTACTCACAAATTTTAATCTAATCACAAACTCACGATCGTCTCTCGAAACCAATGATTTGAAACTTTGACTCGTCGGTCCAAAGAACTCGTTTCTAGTCTTTTATGGTTCGTTTTTCGTTTTGTTTTGCCTACTTACGAATTTCTATTATCTTTTAAAATACATGTTGTATTGAAAATTAAATTGAATTTCTATAGAAACTATATTAATTTTTATATAAATTGCTATAAAGTCTTTTTTATATTTCTTTCAATATATATTTATATATAAAAAAGGTTTTTGAAATTTTTAGAGATAGGTCAATAGAAATTCTATTAGAATTTCTATAGATCATTTTAAAAGTTTTTAGAAATTCACTAGATCTTTTTTGGTACTTTTTTTTACTTTAAAAAACTTTTTTTAAATAGGTTATTTTGTGATGTGATAAAAGCAAATTTGTATTCATATAAGAGTTAAATGTAAAAAATTTTGCGCAAGAGCAGCACGAAAAAAACACTTTCAAAGCTGCTAACAGAAGGTGCTTTAAAGATAAATAACTACATTTATTCTTATCTATAAAACAAGAAAAACAAATTGACTTATTATATCATTAAAAACCACCAGTGCTAAGTAACAGAAATTTCTTTTTACTTCTCTATTTCCACCCAGTAATTTAATGGCGCATTTTATTTCTATTTGAATATTTAATGGCACATTTTATTTATATTTGAAAGCATATATGAAACTTAATGGCGCATTAAATTTTATTTAAAAGTATTTGACTATCATTCGTTTATTTATATCCACTTTCATTCGTATATTTATATCCACTTTCATTCGTTTCTTTATATTTACTTTTATTCGTTTATTTATTTCGACTTTTATTGGTTTATTTACATTGTTTATAAAATCGTATATAAATTTTCATCTATATAAACTTTTATTTAGATTAAATCATTACGTACATAATTAATCAAAACTCTTCTAATGAAAATATTCTCAACTCTTCAAAACGTGTGTATGAAGATGCTCTTAAAAATTTATCTCTTTCATAATGCTAAAATTTATCTCTTTCATAGAAGAACAAATTAAAAATAGCAGAATTATTGACCATGACCCAACACCCACATTAACTATCTAATTTCAAAAACAGTTGTGTAAATTAAGAAAAGAGAGTAAGTCAGACACAAATACATATTTTAAAATGTATCCATCAGATTGTGTGAAACTCAGAATATATGGAATGACGCAAAAACCCGAAAAAAAAGTTACCCAATAAGTCCTGTTGTATCAACAATCAACACACCACCATATGGAACATCCAAATACCTCGTTATCATTCAACCAACACTAAACAAAAACAAAAATAGACTTATTAATTTGAATAGTTTTGTTAATGAAGCAAAACAATGGAAAATAGATCTCAATGAAGTTCATGTTTCATTTAATATAGTTAATTTATATCATTTGATATAGTTGATTTATATTAAAAAACTTTCATGAGGTATGTAGACAACGTAGACTAACTTTATCTCAAAACCACAATCCTACCATAAAATAATCTGTTGAACTCAAAAACTACCAAATACAAAATAATTTTCTTAATATTATTATTACAAACACAATGCATACAGCTTATAAATTTCAGATACATCGAAAAGAAGCAATAACTAATATTCAACATAAATCTAATTCAAACGTCAATCCTAATAGTTATTATTGCCGTATTTAAAAGGTTTTTATGCCGGGCAAAAAAAAAATGCTCATAAAAATACTTCCAACAAGAAACTTATTTTTTAACAAAAACATTTTTTCAGAAAACGGGTAAGACAAGAACAATCTAAATAATATCGCAAAAGACTATAAAAAACCATTTAAAAAGTACCAATTATCAACTAACTGACAACCAACCATTTATAAAGCTACCATGGATGCCAATTATTGGCATCCATGCCAATAATTGGCATCCATACCTCAAACTTAGAAAAGAATTTAGAAAACAAAACATAAAATTTATATTCACATTAGCTCCAAATTTAAACAAGATACTTTGCAACAATTAGACAAAACTTCCTCCAAATAAAAACCCAGGCGTCTACCAAATAAAATGTTCATGCAATTCTATATACATTGGTGAAACCACAAAGAAAATTATATCAAAATGTATTGAGCACCAAAAAAAGAATATAAAAAAAAATGGTCTAGTTTGGGAGCTACTGAACATTCCGAATCATGTCAAGGTATGTTTGACTGGATCTTTGCCTACTGTCCTCCCTCTTTTACAATATGGGTATACTTTAAACATGTATATAACTCCTTGACATCCCAAAACAACTTTTCTCCAATAAATTCGATATTTTCGATTGAAACTGCGAATTTATCGGAAAAAAACCCTCCTCGCAGCTGTTTTTGACAATCACTCAAACCATCATTAGTGAAATATGGAACAACAGATGCCACCAGTTGTTTAACAATTCAAAAACTGACCCAATGGCAGTGATCAGGATAATTATCAGAAATATCAGAAATATTATTACTTTAAAATATAATTACCATGTCCAGGGCCGGCGCGACTAGGTGTCACGTGGGGGGGGGGGGTGCCATTACAACTTTTGCCGACTAAAAAAAAAAAAAAAAGGTCCTCGTTTTCTCTATCGCGCCGGCCTTGACCATCTCCGTAGAAACACTACGGACATTTTCTGTCAAACTTTTTGTATCAATAACGGTTTTTGTCAAATAGAAAATGGGAACCTAAAACTAAACATATGAACAAATACACTGGCTCATAACAAGAACTAAATGTTTAGTTAAATGTTTCCTGTTTTCTACAAATATAATTTCTTTAATTACTACAAAAATATTGTTATTTATGATTAGACAAACACTGCTGGCCCTTATATAAAATATTATTTGCATGTTCCTTTGTAGCTTTTAGTAACGTGGTATTTGTGTTGAAGTCGTGTACCTTATTATTATTTTACTTAAAAAAATTTTTTCTTCACTTAAATTAATTAATTCAACTTAATCAACTTCTTCTAAAACCTTTTTCTTATTCTCGATTTCTCTCCGCACAAAGGCATTAAAAAAAAAAACACAAAAAAATATAAAATCAATAAATACAAAAAAATATAAAATCAAAAAACACGAAAAAAAAATTTATAAAACAAAAAAAATATATGTATATATATAAAGTCAAAAAGGTATTTCAAAGGAAAAATAGGCATATATATTATAAAATATATTCGATAAAATCAATGTCAAAACCAATGTGCAAAATTTTTTTTATTATTATGATCGATTATAAAAAAATATTTATATATATATATATATATATATATATATATATATATATATATATATATATATATATATATATATATATATATATATATATATATATATATATATATATATATATATATATATATATATATATATATATATATATATATATATATATATATATATATATATATATAAACGGAAATATTTCTTTAATTGTAAAGAGATTATATTTATTTATATAGCAGAAATAGTTTATAAAATTTGTAAATATTTATTAATTTGTAATAAAAAAAAAAAAAAAAAAAAAAATGTTTGACTGGTTATATCCCAAAACCATATCAATTGCTTCAGAATATCATATTCAAAAAATTCAAGAATCACTGGAAATAAACACAGCTAAAGTTCGACAAAAGTTGGGAAGTGGCAAAAATGGTTTTAATAGGGATGATGATGATAACGTAACAACAAAAGCTTAGGGGCCATTAGAGTTAACATTTAAAACCTATTTTGTATTTTGATATATCATGTATACAATTACAATACCTTCTTTCTGATTTGCCCCCTTATTTATCAAATTTCCCTATATTATCAATGAAGGGCTTTTTTTTTGTTTTGTTTTTGTAACTTCTTTTTATTTGACGCCCCTTGGATATCTGCCGTCGCGATAAACTATCTCTTTTGTCCCCCTTTCGGCGGCCCTATATATATATATATATATACACACATATATATATATATATATATATATATATATATATATATATATATATATATATATATATATATATATATACATATATATATATATATATATACATATATATATATATTTATATATATATATACATATATATATATATATATATATATATATATATATATATATATATATATATATATATATATATATATATATATATATATATATATACTATATATATATATATATATATATATATATATATATATATATATATATATATATATATATATATATATATATATATATATATATATATATATATATATATATATATATATATATATATAGGGCCGCCGAAAGGGGGACAAAAGAGATAGTTTATCGCGGCGGCAGATATCCAAGGGGCGTCAAATAAAAAGAAGTTACAAAAACAAAACAAAAAAAAAGCCCTTCATTGATAATATAGGGAAATTTGATAAGTAAGGGGGCAAATCAGAAAGAAGGTATTAAATTTAAGGAAGCAGGTGTTAAATCTATAATCTTTAATTGTTAAACCATGTTAATCTTATAATACATCCTCAAAAAGGTGTAGGGGAATGTGGGGAGAAGTAGAACATTAAAAATTACTTCTAGAATAATTTTAATATCTTTTTTATATATTGTATGAAGCAACTTTTAACACATAAAGCATCATTTCGGGCATTGATTCTATTCCTAAGATTGGCAATAGGTTATAATAAAGTATATATTTATTTGATTTTTGAAGAACCATGCTTTAGGGTAAAATAAGAAAAGTGAGACAAGCGAATGTTTAACAGCATATTGACAAATTTTTTATTCAAAAACAAATAAAATCGTAAACCATATAATTTAAAAAGTATATATTCTAGAGGTTTCCACAATATAATTTACATTAAAGCAATCGGGAGAACTGGAACATAAAATAATTTTCTTTGTCCAACTTGACCCCTCAAAAAAGACCTTATAGAAATATTTTTCAAAAATGCGGATTTTACCACAAGCAGTGAGACAAAGCGATATCTGCTAAAGAGAGGGGAAGAAATTTCATTGTTTACATTAGATAATAGTTATTAAAGATCTCTCCTGATCGGATTTTGGGCTGTCTCACTTTTCCCACGTAACACTCTTTTCTATTCTTACTTATTCTTTGCTTAGGTGAAAAATATTTTGTTATAAAATTTAATCAAGAATCTTTGTTAAGCCAAAAAAAGGTTGCACTGTTCTTGCTTGACATGAAAACTAACGTTAGATCTTGTTGTAACGCAAATTGGGTATTTTTAGAAGGATTTTTATTAATACTCACGTTTAAAAATCAGTATGAATGCTGATGATATTACAAAAAGTCATAATTTATAGGAAATTATTATAATTTTAAGTCTCCATTTTAAGTCTCCATGCTGATGATATTACAAAAAGTCATAATTTATAGGAAATTATTATAATTTTAAGTCTGATATAATGTTAAAATAACAGACAAACTTACGCTATTAACATTACTCTTCACAATATCGTCAAAAGGTGCATCAGCATTTGAATTTATATAAATCTCATTTGATTCGTTTAGGTTTGAATTCTTTTCATGATTTTTTGACATTTTGAATTTGAGATACACAAAATAATGTTAAATTTATTGACTCATTTTTTTAAATTTCCAATGGTATTAAACATCATACATGTTTAATCCCAATAAATTTACGTAACTTTTATTTGTATACAAAAAGTTCGAACAAAATACCAATTAATGTTTTTTAGTATTCAACCTTGACGTAATGAGATTTAATCTTTTTATGCTTTGTTAGCTTAGCGCATGCGCAGCCACAATTTTTTTTTTATTTTCAAACTTTTTTTCATTTCAAAACTTTTTTTTATTTTAAAATTTTTTTTTATTTTAAAACTTTTTAAAATTTTTTTTCATTTAAAAATTTTTTAAAATTTTTTTTCATTTTACAACTTTTTTTTTTTAACTTGAAATTTCTTTTCATTTAATCATAGTAATTTAAAGATGATACTTTAACAATTAGTGCTTGTAACAACAAGTTATAACACTTATTAATAAGTGCTTATTTTCAATTTACGGAAGTTATTTTAGTAAATATGTAAGTTGCAGCTTTAGTTAAACACTTACCAAACCCTTTATCTCATTAACAGCATTTTTTAAAATTATTATAATCAGGGGCTTCCACTATTTCCGTCTTTTGTTATGTATATGTCTTTTTCGTGGCAAATATAAATCTTTTTATTGTTAATTTAAAGTCTATTTATTTATTTTTTATTTGTCAAATATATTTTTTTCAGTCAAACATTTTTTTTAAAATAAAAGCATTTGTTTGACTCAATTAATCCAATCATATCAAAATCTTTATCAAAAGAATTAATTGACTTAAAGAAATGTATTTAAATCTAGGTTCATACAAATATGTTATAAATTATATTTATAACTAACAAACTAGTTTTTTGTATAAAAAATTTAGACGTTTATTTAATTTTTTGTTTCAATTTATGTTTTCTTATGCTTAATAAGTAAAACGTAAGTTTTTTTTTTTCAAGTTCATTAATTTTCTAAGTAGGGGAAAGGCGACTACGATGGCATAGCGCCTATGATGGCATACCGGTCATATTTCCATAAAAATTGGTTTTGGAGAAAAAGCGATTAGACTTACATGGCTATACTGATTTTACATTAATTTTAGCGAAAATATGTCCCTTAAGCACAAATATTGTTTTTATAATCAACATAAATCGATTTTGAGATGTGCTGTTGTAATTTTAATCCCGTCGTATATTTAAGATTGTGATTTTGTTATTAACTGTGCAGAAAGGGAATTTTCATGGATTTTATATCCAGGTTTTGTGCATTTAGTGGAATACTTACATTAATTTTATTTTTTGAACTGGCAGACACAGCAAAAAGATGACTTCTTCCTATTTTTTTTTGTTTTTGTTTTTTTTTTGTTTTTAATATATTTCGCTGTTTATATAAAAATAAAATAATAAAATTACAATGAAACTTTTACATTACACAAAGAATATATATAAAGCAGACAGGGGCTTAAAGAAGATAAGGATGACTGATGTCACCACAATCTTTTCATAGAGCCCCTTTACAATATCATTTAAAGCATATCAATATTTTCACATCAGAATTGTTTTAGAATAAATTTGTATCGTCTGCATACATAATTGACAATATTTTATGAGAAGCTTTATTCATATCATTGATATATATTAAAAATAATAAAGGTCCTAAAATTGATCCCTGTGGGACTCCGCAAACAATATCAAGAGTTCCTGACTTCTCCAGGACAACAAACTGTTTTCTATTAAAAAGATAACTCTTAACCCACTTATATGTTAGGCCTTTAATGCCGTAATGTTTTAGCTTTGAAAGCAAAGTTCCATGATCAACATTATCGAATGCCTTAGAGAGATCGATAAATACTCCCAGTACTTGTTCCCCTTTATCAAAGGACATGGATATTTTATTGGAAAGTTCAATAATAGCATGTTCAGTTGAGCAATATCTCTGAAATCCAAATTGATTTTTGTATAAAAGTGTATTTAATGTCATATAATCATAAATTCTTGGTTGCACAAATATACCATATTATACCATATAATATGCGTTATACCATATTATACCATATATTCTGTTGTAATCACAGCGAGCTCTAAAGAACTTTTTTTTAATTTACCTAAACGATGCGGACATTTATATTGTCAATAAAAAACTGCATTACAACAACTTTGTTCCCAATTCAGTTGAAACTAATATTAGCGAATCTAAAAAAACAAATTATCTCAATTTACTTCTGGTTATTAAATCAAAGAAACTTGAATCTATTTTCTAATGTCAATGTTGTTCGAAGATGTTTTTTCCTGCTGCTGTTACAAATTGTAACGGAGAAAAGTCTTTTTTAAACTTCAAAAAGAGTATTGATAAAAAAGAAATTGCTACAATTCTAATAGTAGACAAGCAAAAATATCTTTCAGCACTAACATTTACTTGTTTGTTTTTAAACAATGCAGTAATTTTAATTAGCAATATAATAGCATATAAAAAAATCGACTTGAAAAACGGATACTATTTTTTTCGGGGAGGGAAAGAGGGGGTCTGGAGAGGCCACAACCAATATTTTGCTGGGGGACCAGGATGACCTAAAGACGGATCTGGCAACTGCCTATAAAACAGATTCATTTTTATTATTTAAAAGATTGAAAGGTTTGTCTTTATACTGAACAATTTTAGACTTCAAGTTTCTTCACTTCATAATTGGTGCATCAACTACAAATTTATTCTTTTCTACGTGTTGGGATACTAATTTATATTTTGAAAAAAAATGTTGATATACAAAATTTTATTAAAGCAAAAATTGATTCTTTTATTTGTCTTGTTTATTCTTATACAAAAAAACATTTTTTTCGACAATCATCATCCTTCACTTTATGAAGTTTGTAATTTAATGAAGTTTGTCACTTAATGAAGTTTGTCATTTAATGAAGTTTGTCACTTAATGAATTTTGTCATTTAATGAAGTTTGTCATTTAATGAAGTTTGTCACTTAATGAAGTTTGTCACTTTATGATGCTTTAATTAAAAAAACATTTAATGCAAGGACAGGTTTAATTGAAGAGAAATTTACTTTCATCTGCCACAATTTTTCAATCAAGTTTTCATATAGAGCTAGAATATGTACAGATTTCTTTATAAGCTGCAAAAGGTAGTTTAATAACAAGTTTTATTTCCTCGCTTTTAGCTGCATAAATTAAAAAAAGAAACTTTTTATTCTAATTTGTAGCATTTCAAATAAACTTTTCCAAATAGTTAGAATATCTTGCTTCATTTTGTGTAACATATAATGTAATTGCCACAGAACTGATTTTAATTTTGCACATGCTACAGCTAAAAGTTAAAATGTCTTAAACTGATTTTTTTTCAATATAGAATCAAGAGTACAAAGTTGCAAACTATGGATATCCATAGGTTGCAGCTTTGTACTCTTGCTTTATATAAAGCATGGAGCTGATACTACTTTGTTGTTTTTTATTCTAGTTTTCATATTATTTGCATTATCCTTAAAAACATGATAAATTTAGCTTAGCTAGATTTCTAAAAACTCATAATCTTTTTGCATACACTCACTAATATGTAACTTTTAGGAAAATTATTCACCTGAAGAATAGCAGTTTCTCTTGTAAATCAGGTTTGATATATCCTGTGTTCAGTAATGCTTAAGAATGTGACTTTTGCGGTATAAGCTTTTCAATATCTATTGCTAATTACAAATAGTCCTCAAATTTTTATGTTTATGTTTCTTTTGTTCTATTTTTTTCAGTTCAGTATACATGGCAGGAATTATGTTTCAACTAAAATATGTTAAACAGAGTGGAGTAAGCATCTGTTATGAGTTCATTAAAACCCTCACCTTTAAATGTTTAAATATCTGATAATTTTTACTATTATTTTAACAGTAACAGTTTTTCTATTATTTTACGCAATCAAATCTTTAATCATTGGCCTACTGTAATTACACAACCAAATTTGTTTAAATTTCTATAAAAAAATTAAAAGAACATTTTTTTTATGGTTTATTCTTATTTTATATTTGAAAAGGTTTATATCATTAAACCATATTTTAATAAAACATCAGGGATACCAACTGTGTTTGAGTCAACAGCTATAAATCATTACCCTATAAAGTTTTCATTATCCTATAAATCTTTGGAAATAAGATTACTGCAACCTAAAAGAACAACTTAGATCCTTTGTAAACAAGGTTTTTGCAACCTAAAAGAATAACTTAAATTTGGATCCTTTGTAAATAAGTTAGCGCAATTTAAAAAGTTTGTAAAGTTTTTCTTTGGTTGAACGATGGCAACTTTGGATCCTTTGGAAATGTGTTTAAAGATCTTATTTCATTATCCTATAAATAAAATTGTATTGCTTCAATTAAGTGGTTCAGCAGTGGTTCTAATTGCAAATAAACATGAAGTAGTATGTTTGAAAAATATCCTGCCTATATGTGAAATAAGGCTAACAATATGAATAAAATTTTGATTTAAATAAAATTACTCTCCAGACTTTCATATTTTGCTTCTTATGCCCTTTATGTCACCTTAAGTGACCCGAGCCCCCGGCTAAATATGTCACCTTAAGTGACCCTTTATGTCACCTTAAGTGACCCGAGCCCCTGGCTAAATATGTCACCTTAAGTGACCCTTTATGTCACCTTAAGTGACCCTTTATGTCACCTTAAGTGACCCTTTATGTCACCTTAAGTGACCCGAGCCCCCGGCTAAATATGTCACCTTAAGTGACTCTTTATGTCACCTTAAGTGACCCTTTATGTCACCTTAAGTAACCCGAGCCCCCGGCTAAATATGGAACTTGTTACAAACTTGGCCCCAGGACTAGGAAAAAAATTATAATGCATTATATATTACAAATTTATGCATATATTTTTATTTATTAAATATTGACGTATAAAATTGTTATATATATATATATATATATATATATATATATATATATATATATATATATATATATATATATATATATATATATATATACATATATATATATATATATATATATATGTATATATATATATATATATAT